GTGACAGCTAGTGGAATCCCGGAAAATAAACCGTGGAACGTTGACCAATGAGAGAACAGTTTACTCGCGCGTGACTTGTATTAACAAATTTGGTCCGTTTAGAAACATTGCCGTGTGAACCAAGAATAAAAAGCAACATTGTAATAATTTTAATCCCTGTTTCGGAACAAAGCAATCGATCTGCAGGTGTGAAAGCACCCTAAGACTAGAGGATATTTAGTGACAAAAAAGAAGGAATTGATTTTGCATTGAATTTTGTATTCAGTTAAATGGTGAAAAGAGTTACAAACCAGAATGGAGCTAAATGGAACTGCAAAAAAAGTACATGGATTTCTTTTTATTTATTTATCATGTCAATCTATTCATTAAAGAATCCTGAAGAAAAATGTTTCCACAAAAATATGTAGCAGCACAACTGTTTTCAACATTGATAATAATAAGAAATGTTTTAAAAACATTTTAAAATAGCCTACATTAAAATAGAAAAGATATTTTAAATTATTTAATATTTTTATATAATAATTTCATTTGTTTACTTATATGACTTGCAAAAGTGCCTTTTATTAATTAGATTTTGCTAAAAAATAAATAAAAGCTTAAAAATTAAAGTCAATTATTTTGTTGTTTAAGTCACACATTCAGGTTTTAAATAATTTATTGGTTTTTAGCCATGCAATTTTTTTTAATGATTTTTGCCAGTACATTTATGTTTCTAATGTCATGACATTAAATTCTCTCTCTTTCCCTCTCTGTCTGTCTCCAGGTTTAGTGATGATAAGGGCTATGTCCTGTACCCTCAAATTGGGGATCGCCTGGACCTCATTTGCCCAGCGTCTGAGCCGCCCGGTCCCCGGTCCCCCGCCGAATATGAGTACTATAAACTGTACCTGGTGTCGTCACGGGAACAGGCAGACAGGTGTGAAGTGACCGGAGCCCCCAACCTGCTTCTCACCTGCGATAAGCCCAACAGTGATATGCGTTTCACCATCAAGTTTCAGGAGTACTCACCCAACCTGTGGGGTCACGAATTTAAAACCAATCAGGACTACTTCATCATCGGTGAGTTAGTGCATCAAAGCATGTCTGTCGACACACATCACATCTTTTGATTATTTTGACCAGAAAATTTTAGTTGTCAAAAGTTCTTCTGATGGTAATAGACTTTGTGTGTTCATTCAGCATCTGCCCTTGTTTATTGTTTTAATCTGTGTTAGAAGGGATGGCATGATGGTATTTCATCACTGCATTTCAATTCAGTTCAATTCAAGTTTATTTGTATAGCGCTTTTCACGATACAAATCGTTGCAAAGCAACTTTACAGCAAATTAAGTTTCTACAATATTTAGTGGTAGCTTATCAGTGGTGACTGTCAGTTAATGTACATATGGCAGAAATGTACGGAAAAATCAATTAAAGACGTAATCAAACAGACGATGAACACTATTAACAGCAATTATAAAATAAAATGATAAAAATGCTAATTTTAGAAGAAAATTTCAGATGGCACTTAAGAGGCTTTTGCAGGGTCTGTAATTTGCCAGTTCACTAGGATCTAGTTGTGGTTTCTTAATAAGAGGCTTAATAACCGCCAGCTTGAATGGTTTTGGGACGTGACCTAAAGACAACGACTAGTTAATAATATTGAGAAGCGGTTCTTCTGCTACAGGTAACAACTCTTTTAGTAATTTAGTGGGTACAGGATCTAACAGACATGTTGTTGGTTTAGATGCAGTGATACGTTTATTTAGCTCTTCCTGTCCTATGGTTGTAAAGCACTGCAGTTTATCTTTTGGTGCGATGAATGAAGCTGAAGTATTATACGCTGTAGAATCTACATTTGTTATTGTGTTTCTGATGTTATCTATTTTATCAGTGAAGAAATTCATAAAGTCATTACTATTAAACTGTGAGGGAATATTTAGATCGGGTGGCGTCTGGTTATTTGTTAATCTAGCCACTGTGCTAAATGAAAACCTTGGATTGTTTTGGTTATTTTCTATGAGTTTGTGGATATGCTCGGCCCTGGCAGCTTTTAGAGCCTGTCTATAGCTGGCTATAGCAATTTAAATTGGGTTTGTTTTTAGTTCAGGCTAGTCGGTTCTCAACAAAGTCACAATCTTCTGCTGGGATTCGGCTGATTGTGATTTTATCAACTGGAACCATCTGTTGGGTTGTTACTGGGGGTTGTTTTTAATACAGTGCACAGTAGCGTGGAGGGAATGAGGCCAACAGAAGCCTGTCAATATCAACATTTCAGAAAGTAGATTTGACACAGGAAAGTGATGTCCTAACACGTTTAGACCCAAAACACGCAATGGGCATGTTTTTAGCATCTATTGCCAGAATTCCCCTAGTCTTAGAATACCTGGAGAAGTACGTGAATTTTAAAAGATTTTCCGATCTGGCAAAGTCATGGAGGTGTAATAAAAATCCTAAAGTCATAGAACTTTATAGTGAATATATGTTTGTTCACTTTAGTTTGGCATCCCTAAATCCTCAGTTGAAGCACACTCAATTTATTATTATTTGTGTGTGTGTGTGTCATTTTTGACACATTTGTACACTGAAAAGTAAAGTTGTTGTCACGAACCCTGAAACTACATTTGCAACAAACATTTTTACTTGCATAATGTGATATGGTTCTAAAAAGTATATTCAACTGGGAAAAAAGTCTGGGCTCAATTTTATTAATCAGGAAATGATTTGCTCATGAAATTGGATGTTAGTACGACCCTGGTGTGTACTGATGAATTACGGTATGCAGAATAATACCATGTGTATTAAGAAAGTAAACCGAGTCAGCTTTTGAATATACACTACTGTTCAAATGTTTGGGGTCAGTAAGATTTTGGTTTTTGAAAAGTCTCTTATGCTCACCAAGACTTCATTTATTTGAGCATAAATAGTTACAACTGTAATATTGTAAAATATTATTACAATTTAAAATAACTGTAATTTAAAATGTAAATGTAAAATGTAATTTATTCCTGTGATTGCAAAACTTATTTTTTTCATCAGCCATTTCTCCAGTCTTCAGTGTCACATGATCCTTCAGAAATCATTCTAATATGCTGATTTGGTGCTCAAGAAACATTTCTTATTATGAATCTTGAAAACATATGTGCTGCTTAATATTTTTGTGGAAATCGTGATACATTTTTTTTATAAAAAAAATTTAAATGACAATATTTATTTGAAATAGAAATCTTTTGTAACATTATATATATCTTTAATAACAATTTTATCATTGTTGAATAAAAGTAATAATTTCCATAAAAATATGATCTTACCACAAACTTTTGAACAGTAGTGTATTACTTTAAATATATTATTTCCAATTGTTTGTACCTTATGTGTGGAAATCTCTTCTAGCAATATCTATAATATAATTCTTCTAGAAAAATCATGGACAAGTCAAGGAATTTGATTGGTCAAAAGTTGTGCGAGCCCTTTATTCACATAAAGAAAAAGAATAAAACAGAAAGGTTGGGAGAGAAAGAATGGATGAGACCAAAAAGAGAGATGATGGCTTTATAGATGTATCAGATTTTCTTTCACTAGGGTTAGTATCAGTCAAATTGTATTCATACTTATCAAAACCAGATAATGATTTCAAACTCAGGAGATAATAGATCGTTGGTGCTTAGGAGCCCAAGGTTATATTTTTGTGTTTGTTTTTATGATGTGCAAAGTGTGTATGAAGGTGTGGCGGTGTCTTGTGACTAATCTTAGCGGTTGCAGGTCTCGTAGACACTGTGACTCTGTGATAAGAATCAAACTCCTTCCACTGGCTCCTTAATGGCCAAACAAGTGTGAGTTTTCTGGTATGTGGACATCAGGAAGTTTCCAAGGCTCTTCCGTGTTCTGTTAAGCCTTAACGTAGGTGTCAGTGACACACACTCACACACACACACACACACGCTGCAGGCTTTATCGTTACTCCAACAGGCCCCACGAATCGGTCGACAGGCTGTGTCAGTCTATGAGTCCTCAAATGCAAGGTCAGAGGCATAAACACACACACACACACAGGCTGCGAGATGGAAAAAGAGAGCGAGAGAAACCATCAAACAAGCGTCCACATGGAAAAAAGGAGAAAAGTGATTTTAAGGGTCATTGAACATTTAATTTAGTGTTTATGTGTGTGCATATGTGTTAAAAAATAGTTGTGTGTGCGATTTGGGTGCATTTATACAGCATCTGTCATGACCGGTTGATGTTCTATTTTCCAAAAGAGTGCACATTTGATGGCTTCTGACATCTTTATGCCCATGTGTTGGCGCATATGTGTGTGTGTAAGGGTATGTGTACATTAGAGATTTGAACCTTAGGGAGAATGGTATTAATTAACCTACCTTAACATGCGCTAATTTATTCAGCCTAGCTCAAATGAGCTGGAACAGGAATGATTCATGAAATAGAGAGAGAAAGAGAGAGAGAGTGTGTGTGTTTATGTGGAAGAGAGCATTGACAGGTCATTATGGCTGCTCCAATCACGTTGTCTAATTATCACATGGGTCATGTAGACGCCCTTAGGTCACTAATAACAGTGTTTACACACTCTCATACACGTACACTTAAAGGGACAGTTCACCCCAAAATCAAAATGATCATCATTTGCGTGTCATCATTTACTCACTTTCATGTCCAAACCTTTATGACTTTCTGCACTGTACAGTATATCTGCAACAAATTAGCAGTGTTATTTTAGTATTATTGATAGACTTATTAATATTTAGAATTTTAGTTTCAAAGTTTAATTCTATATTTTTATTTAAAATTGTTTTAGTAATTGTGTGTACTTTTGTCATTTTATTTCTATTTTTAGCTTTAATTTATATTGATTTCAGTTTTAGTTTGACTAATTTTAGTGTTTAAACAGTTTATTTCAGTTAGTTTTTTATCTAATATTTATATTTTATTTTATTTCAATTCATGAAAAATTTGAATAATTGTAATTTTATTCATTTTAGTTAATAACAATAATACTGCATATGAGTTACCACCCGATTATTATTGTTGTTGTTTTTTAATGAGCAGCATTGAATGTTTATTTTTAGTGGGGTTTATTTTATATTATATTTTATTATTTTATTATATATTTTTAAACAAAATTGTATAGTATTTTATTATCAGTTATTTACTGGTTATTGGCCATACAATGAAATGTTATCAGTCAGAATTTTAATAACCATGCAACTAATGCATAAACAAATTATTTACCATTGACAAAGCTGTCAAAGCTAAAATTTGGAGAATTTTGACTTTAGAGTGAAAATAGCACACAATAGCATTATAGACTAGTTTTATGGTGCTTTTTGTCATTTGACAGCCCTGGGTCACCATGTACTTTTGTTGTAAAGCATCTTCTTTCGTGTTAAAGAAAGTAAGTTTGGAATGACATGAGGATGAGTACATGATGACACAATTTTCATTTTGGCTTAGCTATTCCATTAAAGCATGATTTTCCTTGCTTTGCAGTCATTCCTGTATCTATCTTAGAGCAGAGTTGCTCGTGAACACACACACACACACACACACTTTGCTGTCAGTCAGCGTGAGGGATTTGGGGTACCTGACAGTGGAGCTGCTCTGGGCTTCTTATCGCCGTGGCATTGCTGTGGCAGCGGACACAGACAGATGGCTAACTGTCACTCAAACTGAGAGAAGAGAACTCAAGAGGAAAAGAGGATGAGAGAGTGAGTGAGAGAGGAAGAAAGAACAAGACGGACAGACGGGTTTTACCAGGGTTTACTGTGTTTCTCAGCAGCTCAGACACACACGCAGATGCCAAGAATCTCTGTACGGTTATTTTACGACTCTGTGAATCATCATCATTGTGCGCGTACGTGTGATGTGCTGAGTGTTTCATGGTGCCATGTTGTTTTGATCCGCATTAATTGCTTCTTTTATGGTGACTGTTTTAAGATTTGAGTGAATAGAGCAACACAAGAAGGACAGAAATAGAAGGTGGGAAGAAGAAGAAAACAGAAAGAAGAGGCGGTCGAAGAGCAAAGGGAGAAAGGGATTCAGAGAGATCTATATTTGATGAATATTTG